ATGGTGCTTTGTTTTCTCTATTATTATGTTGCTCTTTGTTGTTTGCTGTCTCCTCTGTTTGTTTTTTTTGTTGTTTGTTTGTTTTTTTTTGTTTTTTTCTCCATACAGGTGACCCAGGAGTTGTTGTTGTTTTTTTTTTTTTTCTCCCCCCTTCTCACCGTCTCTTCTCCCCTTTGGTTTTCTTTCTTTCTCTCCCCCTCTTTCTCTCATTCATTCCCCCTGTCCTATTTCTTAAAAAGAAAAAAGGGAAAAAAAAAAAAAAAAAAAAAAAAAAAAAAAAAAAATGTAGACATCCACTGATAAGTCGTCTTGCTTACTCATAGGCTGAGGTAGTGTATATGTGTATTGCATTCCTCATCCTCCGACTTGATAAACAAGCTGAAAACAAACGAGTTGCCCTCTTTAATCACATATTGAAAATTCCCTCACCATAAACACCCTGGCAGAGCATTTGAAAAAATGTTACAATCGAGGAGGCAAAAAATGAAGAACACTTTCTCTATTTTCCAAATGTGAATATTCTCAGAAACGTAAAAGAAAAACTCACAGCGTTCCTGTTGTAATATTTCTAATTCTACATGACTTAAATTGTAATATTGTCACACTGTATCTATTAACATTTCAGTTATGTCCTTTCGCCACCTCATTTAAAATACATTTGTGTCACACTATTGGCGATTTCATTACCGGTCGGAGACACAAAGACCCACAGTCTTGTGTTTACTGGCTCATTTAGACACGGAATAACCCACCTGACTTGCTTATGTGTGCAATGTGAGTTTGATTATGACTTCATACGTCTGACGATGAGTGAAGGAAATAATTCTTTGAAAATAAGTGAGGATGAAAACACGTCTGAACAAATACACGGCAAAGTTCAATGGGATCCAAGGTAACAGACACAAGTTAAGACCAAGCCTTCAGCATAGGGCATGTCACCGGGCCTTTCTGCTCTCATTCTATATTCAGACTTCTCTTAACAGATTGGTTGTGCTGGTAAATCCTCTCTGACTGAAACCTGTGCACGCTGAAAGCTGTTTGGTTTCTGTTCATTGTTCTGAATTATTAAAATGGTCTGGTAAGGGGTATTACATAAACCCCTGTGTTTACAAGTGAAACATTCGGTTTTCATTTTAAGTTTGGGGAAAGAAAACACTGTGACTTATTGTGTCCAACATCCCACACGCGCCAGGCTCAAGCAAAAAAAAAAAGGGAGGGGGGAGTCTTGATGAATGAGAAGAAATGATAGAAGTGAATCAAGGGGCTCCAAATGCAGTTTTCCAATAATAGCTAGATGCCATGTAGCCTGCGGTCCTTTTGTTGTATCTCAGCAAACTAATTTGAGACAGGATGTCCCAAGTGTAACTGCTAAGAATGAAGTCAGATGGAATAACTGTTCACGCCCCAAAAAAATTTTAGACTGAAGAAAAACTGAAACACGCATTTGACGTTGGAAAGTATCCCTCATTATTCAGCAACTGCGGACATCCAAGCAGCCTAAGATTAATAAAGTAAAACTACAACGAAGAAAAACAACTTTCAGAAAACAAACTCCGGCACCACTGAGCCTGTTACTTAATGACATCTGGTGGGCATGCAAACAAACTTTGAAAATGTGTTTCAAGACCTTGCAATCATTCAGTATTAATGAAGGCATGTATACAGCTCGCAACCATACTGCATACCAGAGAGCACTCTCCTGAATCCTTCGTTTTCACCACAACTTTCTCACCAGTCAAGGACCAGAGCTTGTAATTAGGTGTTATTGTATGAGCTGTTGTAAGAAGCGATGCACTGTCACTCAGTGAAGTACACACACTACTCAATCACATAAAATGAGGCTTAAAGAGAAGCAGTTTGGTTTGTGGAGGTGTATTAGCTTTCAAGCCATTAACTGAATGAGAAACTAGACAAGAACAACAGATGGCTTATTTTAGAGAGAACAACTGACATTTATCTGCCAGAAAATGTTGCCAGTGATGTTCGCTGTGGTATCGTGCATGCATATACAGTACGTGCGCCTGTAAGATGGAGAAATTTTACACAAAAAGCTAATAAATAAAGCGGCTATCACACTCTAATAGTTGAATGGGATTAAAAAAATTGCCTTTTGCTTAACTTAGAAAAAAAAGTTTGAAAGTACTTAAAACTATTAAATGGGGAGAAGATATCACACAACACATCTTCCATCTGGCTGCTTTGAAATGCCTCTACTGTGGTCACACTCGGCTACTTGGGAAAATCATAAGCATTTCAGGAATGGTCATCTGACATCAGGGCTAGAGAAGTTAGTCCTCCTCGTAGCCTATGCTCTGCTACACACTTGTTGCAAACAACAGCTGCAACATGCCCATACAGTGCCAAATGCTGACGCCCCTTGGCAGAGGCTCCTGACTTTACCCTGACCTGGTGCCACACCCAAACTTAAAACCAACCGAGCACTTTCTTTTTGGTTGTCTTTAAACTCTGTGACTAAGGCCGAGCCTAAAATCTCTTAAAGCTTATATCCTAGTGTTCTTCAAATTGTTATTACCTTTGATTGTCATGCAGTTTGCCAGTTTGCTAAACAAAATAAGGAAAGAGTTAAAAATCCACCTGCCTCCACGTGTCACACGACACTTTTCACTCATGACAGGCTGTCCGGTCATTGTGTACTAAGGACTTAGTGGAATGACATGGCCTGAATACCTACAGGGTTATGCTGGTCTAGGCATCTTACAGACCCTCTCCAGCCTTATAAGGGCTGCCAGGGCAGTCAGGGGGGAACAGATGCACCTGTCAACAGACGGGAAGGAAACAGGAGAAGAGGGAACTGTGTAGAGGCGACCAGCTTAAAGGAAACACTGGGTTTATTTACCTGCCCGTGTCAGTAAGACAGCTAATTGCCCCACTCTTTTACCGCTTTGAAGTACAAACATCACACAGGGTTTAATGCTGTGGAACCATTTCCCATCTCTCAAACGTGCGTTTACCAAGCATATTGTGCATGCTCTCTGTTAAGAGGACATGTGTGCCCTTTGCATGCAATGGAAAGACAGTCAAACCAATCAGTCAGTGGTACTGACGACTGTCTTTAGCCAATCACAAATAGATATGCTACTATCCAGCTCATTTGCTAAACAGGAAGCCTGTTGGGCAGAGCTACAGAGAGCTAATGAATCTCTCCAGGAGGACTTACCCGCTGGGCTAGAGCCCGCACCACTTGGCACTGAAAGGTCTGTGGTATCCAGCATGCCACCTAATAAGATGCACAGAGTGATATGATTAACCATCTGCATCTTTCTGCAAGCTAGCAGAGCATGTGATGGAGATGGCAGACCAGACATGAAAATGTCATGTAGCTCTATCTTCACAGTGCACGAAAGAGTGGAACGTGCTCTGCCAGGGTCCTTATGGTGAGGAAATTTTCAATATGTGATTAAAGAGAGCAACTTGTTTGTTTTCAGCTTGTTTATCAAGTCGAGGATGAGGAATGCAGCATTCCACTGTGAGGAGGCACGTTCAGAAAACGGTTACTTGTGTAATTCTGAATTTGTGCACCTCTGAGTGATGTTTCACACACATTTAAGCAATGCACTTAGGTCAAAAGAATATAATGCTAGCATGCCACCAGAATCATCTAAAAAAAAAAAGATAAATGCTTTACAGTTATTAATCACAAGGGATGAGTTATTCTAGAAAATTATCATTTAGTATACCCCCAGTAAACAAGAACATGTTACTACTGATATGTGGTCAAATGTCAGTGAGGCATTTCACACCTTGCTGCATGTGCTCCCATCAAAGGCATTGTAGTGAAATCTTGCAAAAGCCAACCGAACTGACTGAGTCCAACCAGTCATACCAGTACTAGTGTCACTGACATCATTTTTCCACTATGCAGATACAGTAAAAGGTGTAACAATGAGCATCTCAGAGGATGTGAAAAAAATATATCCACCAAAGATCAGATAAGAGGTGTTGAATGACGACTTGACATTAGCTCACTTACCCTGGAGACCATTTTGGACAAAAAGTTGAAAACCATTTGAGATAGAGACCACTCAGAGGTTAAATGTGGACAACCTAGATAACGCAAACCTATTTATGCATATGAAACTAAAGAGGTAAAAGCTAGATCAGTCAAGTTTTCTCTAATCTATCTGAAGTATGCAACATTATTGGCTTTGTCAAGTGCCTGAACTCTGTCATTCAGACATAGGTCACATTTATTGGTTTTTTTTTCCCCGTACCCTTGAGATGGGACTGCATCTCAATATCTAGCCCCAGAGCTTCCAGCATTTCCGTCCACACTGCCATGTGTGTGCCCCATTCCCACCTCTCATATTCCCTTGCCTCTCTGTGCACCCTGTCCTCATATCCCCCCTGCTCCTGTGTGCAGCCTCTCTTTTTACTTACGTCTCTTAGCCAAAAGTCTGCGCTTGTCCTCAAACGTCTGGTAATGTCTGAACTTTCTTTTTCTTTCTTGGGTTGTTCTGTTGCAGATCGGTCTTAATTGTGAGCATACCAATCCCATAACGTTAACTGGCATGTATTTATTTGAAACAGTAAAAGTGATACATAAATGTTGTTGATACAATTTCCATCAAAGGGGCCAGGATGCTTTTTTACAAATAAAGCCGACAAGTCTGGAAAATTGATTGGATCCAAGATTAATTTGTATGTCGATTCTTCACAACATATATCCCGCTTATAAAATTAAGTGAACTTGCATGCTGCTACCCATTGTCTCCACTCTTTATGCTAAGCTAGGTTAACAAACTTCTGGCCTCCAACTCCATGTTCAACAGGGATATAAGAGTGATACTGATCTCCTCAGCAAATTCTGAAAAGTCAAAAACAGCAGTTTCCAAATTTGTTGAGCTACTCTTTTCAAACTATTGCAAATAAAACTTTGATAATATTTCTGATGTTGGTGAGACCGACTCTTGTATCAATTTGGTGGGAAACTGCCTTAACCACCATTAACAAAAATCGAAGTGAGATTGTTATCCACTGACCTGCACTGCCTGCACTGGTGGGCCTCTGGGATCCTCCACCAGAGCCAACATTCCTGTGCAGAGAGGCCTGTGGAGGGGACAGCATCCCACTCTCACTCAGAGAAGCTGTGGCGGCTGCCAGGCCCTGGCTGCCCAGAGTCCCTCCTGCCTGGTACATGGCATTAGGATTGGATACAGGCACTGCCACATGCATGGAGAAGTTCTGCTGAGGCAATGCTGTGGGCTAGAAGAGGGAGACAAACACACAAATATTTACACAGATTACACTAAAAATCCAAGCTCCGATGAGTCTGATGAGTCACTGGTTGTCATGGCATCATTAACAGCAAGCTCCACTTGAAGGTTAGCTTTAATAAACAGATTCACAAAACAGGCAGGCAGGGCAGATTGAAGTACTGCAAAGGAGACCTCCTACATTGTCGGCTTTGTATGCTTTATAGTATACATAACATAATATTTATTCATGGTACTTTAATAAACATTCATAACCATCATTCTCATTAACATCATACATAGAGAATACACACAAATCTTCAAGTAATATCACAACATACACAAATAATAACTTACAAAACCCAAAATATAAAAACATGCTGTCAGGTGATCACTGTGCATTGCAGCAGTCAGCACTAGACACATAGATTTTCCTTTTGAAACACCATTGTGTAATGTGTTTCTCTGCAAAACACACAGCGGTGGTGGGGACTTGCAACCCAGACATCTACAAGAATCACAACTCATTTGCATTTACCCACAAAGTGCTGACTGTGCAAAGCTTTAAGTGAGAATGACAGGTGGCAGTGAGAACATTTCATTATAGCATTATCCAGTGAGCCAGTTGGGTGTTATCATTAGTTTGTTAATGGCAAAGTGATGCTCTTCATGTCAGGAACATAGAGAAAACAACTGCTTCTTAGTAAGCACTATGTTCTTGCACAAGTCTAATATTGTCACGTGTGATAAGATCACAAGAGATCTGTGATATCTTGAAAGACAGAGCCAGTGTGGTACTTGGAGAAGGGAACAGGACGGTGTAAATATTAGTGCAGTGTAACGATGAAGAGATATAATTTGAAAAGAAGAATGAAAATGTTGGATTATTAAGGTCCTACGGAGACAAAAAAATATTTATTTTTTTTACCAATCGAATAGAAATCTGGATTGAGATGGCAAAAAAAACACCCTTAAATTAAAGGATCTGCAACTGTTTATAATAAACACTCACATTACTCTTAGGGTATTTACTGTAAATTCATTATGTTGAGATAGTGATTGCAGTTTGATTTGTGATAACATGACTATGATACTAGGGTGTAATCTTTCTAGCAGAAGCATGCAACATTTCATCTGTTAATGAAATGTGATCTTATCAGGGTGTGCCAAAATATCAGCGGCAAAACAACTCAACGTAAGGAACAAATGCACACCCAGTAAAGGGGGCATTAATCTTTAGTGTAGGTCTGAAAGAAGTTAACGGAAATCTTCGGAGGGACAACAAAAAGAGGAAAGAGTTAAATGGAGAAAAAAAAGAGCCAAAAATCCGTTGTGCCACAAAGCCAAGCAAGAACATTGCATTTACAGTACTTACGATTTTATGATTTCTCATCATATTATCAAACTCCTCATTAATTTTTTTATACTTTTCTTCTGTGTGAGGAGTGAGGACATATGAGGCATCGGGGTCCGGGCTATCACAACCTCTGTGTTCTTTCTTGTTTAGCGCCTGTAGTGAACATCAACATAAAGACAGGAATCAACACAAAACAGCAGGGGACAAAGGAAGTACTTACACCGCAGCGCTTGTACATTAAATCACTGTCTTCGCTTAGTTTGCCGAAATGGTCATCCATGAGGGGGCTGTGCCCAAAACAGTCATCAGGATCAGGACTAGCACAGTCATTATGGCCTTTGTTTCTCAATTTCTGAAATGAAATTGCACAGTTGAAAAGAAACAATGTACAAGAAGTAGTCCTGTGTTTATGTTGCTTGTTACCTGTTATATACAACACTGTGCAAAAGTTTTATGAACATCAGAACTGTACATTTTTATACTAATGCTTAACATTAGGAGGAAACTGATCTGTCACAAAATAATTCTGTAGCATTACAGACACAGTCAGCCATAAATACATGTCTTCAGTGCTGAGAAAAACAACAGGTCTGTAACAGATGGTATGGCCCCCATACAACATCACTGAGTCAGTCTAGGATCAAACGAAGAGACAGAAGATGCCATAGACTGTATTTATAAAAAAGCCAATGTGATGTCACCCATTGGTTTGTGGACTCATTTTGAAGCCACAGACTAAGCACTTTGGCCGCTGCCATCTTATAGAGAGGTGGATATGGCTGATAAAGTGTCACATGTCATAAAGTAACTACTCCCTAAAGCATAACCTGCTTTACTGCCAATTTTACTCGGCTAGAATTTATGAAATAAAACAGCACGTTATGGTAAATAAGGCCTGAAACTAGCAATCGAGATCATAATCGCATAGGGGGAAAAAACGCTTACTGAGGTAATAAATAAAGTAGGCAGTAGAACAACTTAATAATAGACTTCCGTACAATAGGATTTTATTTTTGCAACCAGATGAGCACCACCCCCTTGCTCGCCATTAGAAAGAATGTAGGTTTAAGGCACATTGATGCCCAGTTTTTAAATATACAGTATAAAGCAGACACTGAGTTAACCCAATTTCAGACAAATAGTGGTGAGTTCCTCAAGATGCTTGAGATAATCTCACAGCTGAATAACTGGATAAACTCTGTGTAAGGCTATGTCATAGATGTGCTAACATTTTAAGGTTGAATAATAGATAACTTTTTTAAATCTTTGCACTTTTTGTCAAGGTAATCATTCGCAAATGTACCTGCAACCTTTGACCAGTACTGTACTTTAAACCAAATTACATGTGAAAATATTCTACTCTGTTTTTTCTTTTCAGAAAATCAGAAAAACAATTTACAAACACAGTGGGCTAGAGTGTAGAAGACTAGGATAAACTGGAAAAGTCACTTTCACCAATTCACCCTTCACCTGGAAACTCCCTTTTTCTTTTCTTGTATCCATTCCTGTCCCCACAGCCTATGCATGTGCATGGCTATATATTTCACATTTATTAGAATGCCCTGCACAAAACGACTCTACAGCTGAGCACACCTAGTCTGCAAATTAGTATGGTTGGCACTTGCATACTCTGATCAAAGTTAATGAATGTGCGATTATCAAAAATTGGTTACATATGCTTATTTGTGCAGGTCATTGAGAAATTATAGCAACATAAGGTGGTCCGTTGTGATGTTATAAAGAGCCTATTCTAACTTTAGCGAGGTAAGAAACATGCCATGAAACTAAGCTCTTTTGCTCACTTTCATACAGGCTATTCCCTGCTCCTCATTACAGCTCTGAAAAGCAGTGTTAACAAGACTTGCTGACAGCATGTGACAGTTTGTGATATCTAGGCAGTGTACATCAAAACATGATTTATGCGAGGCTCCCAAGACTTCTCTATCAGGCTGCTGCAGGTCCACAGCAGCACCCTGCCCCATCTTGAAGACCTCGTGTCTACAGGAAGGTCACTGACTCCTGTGGATGTAGGGGTTACAGTGCACACCAGAGGAAAGGAACCTACACACACTAATGAGACCTTACTCTCTTGTTTCTGGTCTTCATCATGCAGCAAAGTGGAAAATGTGTGTCTGTGTGTGTGAGAGAGAGAAAAACAGAAACTATGTGAGTAGGAGTGTGCGGTGCATATGTGCAATGTCTGTACGTTGTGTGTGTGTGTGTGTAAATGTGGTGAGGGGAATGGGGGAGGGGGGGTTTCTACAGCTGCTACATCCTCTGACAGCGATGTGACAGTACGTTTAGGTCTGTGCAGACAATGTGGCTAACCTAGCAGTTCTCACCACAACCTCAGTGTAAGTCACATTTCCTAAAACCTGGGTTGTATGAGACTCCTGCATAATAAAATTTCTCATTAAAACTAGACCACTTTAAACACCCGACTGCTCCTCCAGTTTTCGTGTACATTTTCTTTTTGAGGGATGTATATTTTAAAACTCAGTAACAATGTTGGTATGCAACATGCAATGAGAGAAATTAAGCTGTGCATAGCTGAGATCGAAATGAGGAAGCTCAGAAAGAAAGAAACAACAACAAAAAAACACCCACATCTCTTTAAACGTTAAGTGTACATAGTGCCCAAAGGAGCACAAGAGAGAGAAATCCTCTGGATAATGAATGACCAGCACTGTACCACAGATGCATTACTGTTTGGTGTGGTACAGAGTGGAGGCATTCTTCTCATTCTAAGAAAACGCCTTGCTGGTTCATTTCCTGTTTACTGAACGCAACCCCCTTTAGTTAGTGTCCTGAAAGGCCTGTGTTTACTGGGGTTAAGCTATGCACTTTCTCCACCAGTGAGCCAAAGATCTGATCTCAACCTGCTAATTTAAGTTCCAACCTGCTCATTATGGGAATATCTTGGTCGGATTGGTCGGGCACGGCTGTGCGAGATGGGCAGGGTTGCTCCACTTTCACAACAAGCCTGGCCAACCTTCAGTACACCACACCCACTAGTCCAAGCCTTTTAGGGAGGGGTAGCAGAAGCAGAGTGGGCGAGCAAGAACCAAATAGCAGTCAAGGGCAGGCGAGACTCAGATGTGTTTTATGATACATGACACGAGTCACTACAATACATATTATCTTCAAAGAGAAGGTGTTGTGTTGTGCAACAGTTCATCACTGTACTGTTCTAATGAATGCAATATTGAAGTGCAAGTAAAGCATGGCTGTAATTCTTTTTTTAAATTACTTGGCATGTTTTCGGGTGCCCCCCCACAGACACTGCCTACAGCTCTCAGTAAACGGATCACTAAATGAGCACATGGCCAAACAGGTGCTCCTCTTCCAAACACCTGTCAAGACCTGGCTCCCCATGCCAGCCAATCAGAGGCACACTCACGGAGACATAGCCATAGCAGGGACCACATGTATCCCTGAAGGCCCCCCAACCACAGACCAACTTAGTTCTTACATGCCAGTGTAAGACGCTACAGGGTTCTGACACGGAAAAGGAAGAAAATACATGATTAGGAAGCAAAAAACCCACTTTCTCTTTTCCGCATTATGAACAGCTTGTTAAAAGCAGCTTTAAAATGTCTCTCAAATGTTGAATCAAGCTTTGGGGTTCGTACTTTTTGGAAAGTATAGTTGGCTGGACGTGAATGCAGCTGAGGCTGGGATTTTCAGTAGCATGTCTGATGAAAGATACGGCCTGTTTGTTGCGGGAGAAGGTTACAAAGGCTATAGACAAGGGAACTTGTGTAATCTATTCACGAGGCCCTGAGAAGCTCACAAAGATGAGTGGGAACAAGGCCAGCTGCTATTTTCTCACAGTGGTCCAAACCTGTATTGATAGAAATTTGGCTCTTGAAATAAAAATGAGGCTGAGTGGCTGATGACAAAACCTACTGGGTCCTATTGTCTGAGAGTGCATCTATAGTAAGTGTGTCCATCAGTTTGCTTTTGTGATACTTCTCTTAAAAAATATTTTCCATTGCAGGAGGCCTTGAAGCTTCCTTGTCCTGAAGAAAACATTTATCCGTCATTTCCATCTGAGCCCTGACTAATAACCTAGTTGTTACCAAGGGAAGCATTCAGCGCAGTAATTGCCTCCTCAGGTTTGCACTGTATGTTCAGCACAGGAAGCAGCAGAGCAGTTAGATCTCACCTTGCATTCCATTTTGATATGATATCAATATAAATTCTCTTTTTGATTCAATTCTGCGCAATGACACGGACTGCTACTAAAATAAGTGAACTTTGAACAGTTTCTGTGTGTCATTAGGCATGACAGATCATCAGTTTACATCACTATGCTCAATTCTGCCTCCTAGGTTTACTTTTAAGCAGGATTTTCACATTCAACGGGTTAAAAATAAAACCCAAACTATTGCATAAGCCACCTACATCACCTGTTTCTTGAGAAGTACTTTTAGTGAGATGGGTCCAAGCAATTTACTCTGCTGCTGTGAGTCTTGGAAAACCATTTCTTTCTGATGTTCTCCCTCTCTTGTGTCAAGAGAGCTTTCTGCACTTAACTTATTCATGTACTGTACTCTACTGTACATGAATAGAAGGGAGGGTGAAAGGAGAAAGATAGTGGTTAGGTATAAAAGCTAAACTTCAAAACTGTGGGGGGGGATGGCTGAAAGGAGGGCATGAAGAGGCTGTTTCTGCAGTCTCTTCTATTGTGCCTGAATCACGGCAAAAGGCTATACTTACAGTAGCTTTCACTATTGGAAGAGCACCGCCTGACCTATGACTGGTTTACCACAGCTCCGATTCAAGGCCCTCTGTGGAAAGACAGTCTGTAGTTATAAACTGGAGTACATCATGAATGTTTAATTCACGTAGTGTTTGTTCAAGCCTCCCCGTTAAAAGCCATATTTTAACGGGTTGCCGTGCCTGCGGCCTCCCCTCACCTCATTCCAGCCGGGTATCTTGGCCCGCTTGCCCTGCAGTGCTGTGAATTAGCCCTTGTGTCTGCCGCTACACTAAGCAAGGTAGCGTGCTAATCCTCATGACATCACTATTGTGTCCAGGCCGTTCCATCTAATGTGCTTATCAAAGGGCTTCTTTGAGTGTTAACGTACTAGGAAATCAGCATGGGGAGGTGGCTTATAAGAAGGCTTTTATCTACTAAGGGATATTTC